TTCAGCGAGTGAGTACCTGCGATGAAGACTCAATTATAATAAAGAAAGAGTTGTGGGTATGCTCATGGAGCAAAAGAGCAGGCAGCTGAAGGAGCTGAGTGCCAGCATCAAAGAAAGTACCGCAGAAAACTGGTGGGACAGACCGACCCGTTGCAGCTTCAGCCAGGGACTTATTCACGTTATTATTCACCCTCTGGCCATCGCAGTATTGACCCAGATGAGTATTTGTATTGCACTTTGCTTATATCTGTCTGTAAGCTGATAGCAGCAAATGAATGAGCAACAGGTCTTGCTTCTGGAAAGAAAAGCAAGTAACATAGTTTTATTTCCTTGTTCTCTTAATATAGAAATGTTAATATTAGTAATATGAGTCATTCTTGGCTTAAATGTCATTGGCTGCAGCTATATTTGTAATGTTATGCTGGGAGTGTCACGTAATCACCTGGGCGTTTCTGGTGGCCCGGGCAGGACTGGGTTGAGGTGACAAGACTGCCACGACGGCGATCGGTCTCTGCTCACGCTGGCCGCCCGTTAGGTGTAGAGACGGTGGAGCCTGCGACGCCCGATGCCAGCCCCGTGCCGTAAGATGGCAACGGTCATAATGAGGTTGGGGCAAGAGCGGATGAGGGTAGGGAGAGCGCCGTCAAGAAGAATTAACAATTGCCCCGCTGCTGCCTGCAACACGCTAGGCGTGGAGTTGGATACCTCACCAACCACGGTTTTGAGCACCCACGTTTTGGGGTGGGGGGTACATTCAGAAAATACCCCCCATATCCCCCCTGGCCCTGCTCGTGCCCCTCACCCCCCTCCCGCAGCCCTGCTGGTTTTGCCAACCACGGGAACTTGCAGGAACCTACCCGCCGTGGCTGGCGTGGGAAACCTGTACGTCTCGGCCCTCTACCACACCCGAGCCTAAAAATAAGTGATGGCTGCTCTAGGAGGGCCATCAAGGAGGGGATCGTTGTGTGGGCCCTGCCCTTCAACTGCTTCTGAAGCTACATAGCAGGTGTTAAGTGCATGACCTGAGCTAGCAGGGGAGGGGACGGAGGCAGGGGCTACATTTGCATTTCAAAGTGAAACCTATAAGGGGCAAATGCCTGGAATACCTAAGAAGAGGCAAGAGCCAGAGACACCACATGCGTGAGAGTCGGGAGGGGCGTGCAACACATGCGGGACGTGAAAAGTACCCGATGCATCCGAGGGCGCGGAGGGGCAGGTTCGCCTATGAAAACTCAGGCAATGATAAGGCCTGTGCGAGCCCCTTTTTATCACTTAAGCCCACTTACAGATCCTGCAGGAAGGTATTCGGGATACGGGGCTGCCAGGAGACCCTCTGCCCTCAGGATCCTGTAAGACGGGTGCGAGGCTTTGTGTTGTCTTTCTGGCTGATGAGGTTGCATTTTCGGTTAGGCCAAGATGGGCGTGCTGGTCCGGTGTCTTACTGGGCTGTATTTAAGCTTAGCCAGAGGGTTCCTGCTGTCCTGTGTCGCACGCTTGAAAGGCAGACTGCTCAGTAACCACGCTCGGCAGACACCGGGCTGCTCTCGTTCAAGCATCCCTGAATTCAGTGCCACTACCTGGAGTCGGATGCTAAGTCTGGCACCTCCTGGCCTGACACTGCTGGTAGCCCTCACTCCCGACCTGGTCCCCTCACTGCTGGTCCTCCACCCTGGCTCACCTGCAGCCCCACAGGCCTGTGCCCCTCGTTCCCGACCTGCAGCCCCGGCCAGCCTGGGGGTGTTGGACCCCCTCGTTACAGACCCTTGAGATTGGTATTTCCCCCGGGCCTTGTGCACCCCCATTGGCGCACGGGTCAAGTCCCGGAGGACTGGAAAAGGGCCAATGCGGTCCCCATTTTCAAGAAGGGGAGGCAGGAGGACCCGGGCAACTATAGGCCAGTCAGTCTCACCTCCATCCTCGGCAAAATCTTTGAAAAAATTATCAAGGCTCACATTTGCGAGAGCCCGGCAGGACAAGTTATGCTGAGGGGAAACCAGCACGGCTTCATGGCACGCAGATCGTGCCTGACCAATCTAGTTTCTTTTTATGACCAGGTTACGAAACACCTGGACACAGGAGGAGGGGTGGATGTCGTATGCTTAGACTTCAGGAAGGCCTTCGATACGGTATCCCACCCCATACTGGTGAACAAGTTAAGAGGCTGTGACGTGGATAACTACTCAGTCCGGTGGGTGGCGAATTGGCTGGAGGGTCGCACCCAGAGAGTCGTGGTGGATGGGTCGGCTTCAACCTGGAAGGGTGTGGGCAGTGGGGTCCCGCAGGGCTCGGTCCTTGGACCGATACTCTTTAATGTCTTCATTAGTGACTTGGACGAGGGAGTGAAGTGTACTCTGTCCAAGTTTGCAGATGACACAAAGCTATGGGGAGATGTGGACACGCCGGAGGGCAGGGAACAGCTGCAAGCAGATCTGGACAGGTTGGACAAGTGGGCAGAAAACAACAGAACGCAGTTCAACAAGGAGAAATGCAAAGTGCTGCACCTAGGGAGGAAAAATGTCCAGCACACCTACAGCCTAGGGAATGACCTGCTGGGTAGCATGGAAGTGGAAAGGGATCTGGGAGTCCTAGTGAACTCCAAGATGAACATGAGTCGGCAGTGTGACGAAGCCATCAAAAAAGCCAATGGCACTTTATCGTACATCAGCAGATGCATGACGAATAGGTCCAAGGAGGTGATACTTCCCCTCTATCGGGCACTGGTCAGACCGCAGTTGGAGTACTGCGTGCAATTCTGGGCGCCGCACTTCAAGAGGGATGCAGATAACCTGGAGAGGGTCCAGAGAAGGGCCACTCGTATGGTTAAGGGCCTACAGACCAAGCCCTACGAGGAGAGACTAGAGAAACTGGACCTTTTCAGCCTCCGCAAGAGAAGGTTAAGAGGCGACCTTGTGGCTGCCTATAAGTTCATCACGGGGGCACAGAAGGGAATTGGTGAGTATTTATTCACCAAGGCGCCCCCGGGGCTTACAAGAAATAAT